TTCGTCTTCATCCATGTCAAGGTCGATTTCGGCGTCATTTTTTGGTGCTGACACACCCGTGTCGTCTGTCATATCGAGATCAATCTCACTTGCGTTCACTACTGCTGCAGGCGCACCTTCTGTATGGTTACTTTGCTCCGTACTGTTCGAAGTGTCCACGTGCTCCCATACAGCAGGAAACTTGGCATGCATGTGAGCACTAAACCAGTGAGGTGGTCGTAAGCGTTCCAAAACTGTTTTGGCAGCAACACTTCCCAGTGTACCATCTTTTGCCTCTTGCTCAAAGTCAGGCTTCCATTTGAAAAGCTGTCGGAAGTTGCCCTTCCATTCCATGCCCCGTGGCCAGTCGTGGCTCAGTCCGATATCAACTTGCGTTCGGATTTGGATAAGCTTGCGCACTTCAAGCTCCCGAACATGATAGATACTCTTCACATCGTCGCTGTTATAAGGCAGGCGTTCGTAGTGTGGCTTCTTGAAGTTGTAGCCTTTCCAGATGCCAGACAGACCAGCGATACGCAGCGGACCCAGTCGTATCACATTTGCTGCGCCCATGTAGTATATCCTCGGTGCAGCCCACCCGCCATAGTAAAGCTCCCACATGTAATTGCTCGCTTCGTGATTACCGCCAATGAATATGGTGAGGTATGGGGCCAGGCGTGCGCCTGAGTAGTACTCGTGGAAGTCGTGCATGGCGTAGTATTTCGAAGGCATTGATACTGCCTTGAGGTCGGAGGCATTTCGAACAGCCTGCAAAGTCGGTTACTGTGAGAGCACTGTGATCAATACACGTACCTGAAAGTCTCCACCGATGATCAGAAGATCCACATCAGGCCAACCCTTGATCTCGCATGCTTTCGCGACTGATGCATAGATCTCATGCAGCACTCCGTGACCGCAACCCTCGACTGCTATCCGCAGCCCTTGCTGTTCGATCAATTCAGGCGCTGCCATGCTTGGCGTCTCGAAGCAGCAGATTTCAGTGAGCTTGCGACCGAAATTGCTACTAATTGATTGTTTGTGTGGTACATGGGCGCAAGCAATCGCGGTCTAGGCTAACAACAAACACTCCAACCCAGAAAGTTGTCAAGCGAGAGGGGACCTGCAGCTGCTAGCGTCGGAGATCGGCGTTATGATAAGAAGCAGGCACGTGCTGATATCGGACCTGCAGGAAGCTCTCCAAGCTCTGCACCAAGATCACACAGGTGCTCCAACAATGGCATCAAACAATGAAACCATAGCGCGGGCGAGATTCCTCCAAGAGGCTGCTCAGCTCCTCGCCGTCTCTTCTCCAACGGCAGCAGCATTCATTGGGAGGGCACATCACAAGTTTGTCGAAGATGCTGAGATCGAAATTCCAAGTAAAGAAGCCGATGCTTATCGACGCAGCATTTGCAACGCTTGTGGAAACATTATGATTCCAGGATGGTCATGCAAAGTCTCAAACCACCTTCCCGGTGAAGGCCCTACAAGGAACGACAATAAGGGATCCAAGAAGCTACCACAGCTAGACAAAAGCATCCGCTATACTTGCTTGATGTGCCATCGGGAGACAGTTCAAGCACTTCGCCACAAAGCACGCAGAAAGGATAAGAAATCAGCACCTGTACTAGATGCAGCACCTGTTCCAACATCAAAGACCCCGGCAAAAGGAGTCGACAACGCGCCCAAGACACTGAATGCCAGCAGCAAGCAAAGACAAAAAGCACGCAAAGGTGGCTTGCAAGCCATGCTCGACAAAAAGAAGTCGCAGAACTCGGCCAGTGGCGGCCTCGACCTTATGGATTTTGCCATGTGAACTCCGTAGGGCTGAGTAACCGCACCTTGCTAGAATGCGCCGCGGCTTAGCGAACCCCCGCTATGTGACGCGGGGCGATTCAAAAAAATTCCAGCACCTTCGTCATCGGGACTTGCAGAGTCACATCACATAAACCAGCATTCAATCTCTTTCACTTCAGTCTGCGAAAAAAAAAAATCAAACACCCGATTTCAACATGGCACAACACAAGAGTCTCGCAAAGGACCTCTTTGAGGATATGGGCCGCAAGGTCGAGGAGGCCAGCGCCCAGCCAGACACTGAAGATGGCAGCAAAGTTGTCGATGAGATTGAAAGTTTGTGCATGAACTGCCATGAAAATGTAAGTGTAGCGGCAAGACTTCCATATAACCAGCTAACACTCTTCAAGGGAACTACTCGGTTGCTCCTCACAAGGATACCGTTCTTCCGCGAGATCGTTCTAATGTCCTTCTCATGCCCACACTGCCATTTCAAAAACTCCGAGGTCCAGCCCGCTGGCGAGATACAACAAAAAGGAGTGCGCTTCTCTCTCAAGGTCGACAACGCCGACGACCTCAACCGACAAGTTATCAAGAGCGACACAGCGATCTTTCGAGTCGAGGATATCGATCTAGAGATTCCTCCAGGGAGAGGGCAGCTGACCAACGTTGAAGGCATTCTCACCATGGTTGCACAAGACTTGGAGCAAAAGCAGGATGAGAGAAAGGAAGTGGTACCAGAGATCTACGAGCAGCTACAGGGCGTGATCAACACGATCAAGCAAATGGCCAGTGGAGAGAAGTTGCCGTTCAAGGTGACGGTTGACGACCCTGCCGGTAACTCGTCCATTGAGCCTCCAAGTGTACTCGCCGCGGGCAAATACTCTCGAAACGAGTACGCGCGAACTGCAGCACAGAACGAAGCGCTAGGCCTTGGAGATACCAGCGGTGAGGCGCCTGCCACGGAGATCCGACCAGAGTACCACGCTTCGCAAATGTACCCTGAAATGCCTTCGGCTCATCAGCCTATGGTGAACAACGTAGACGATGATGATATTCTGGAGAACCAAGTTTACTCGTTCCCTGCCAGTTGTCCCGGATGCACCAAGCCCTGCACTACCAACATGAAGATGGTCAATATTCCTCACTTCAAGCAAGTAGTCTTGATGAGCACCGTGTGCGACCATTGCGGATGTAAGTTGGAACCTAAGTGATGCGACATGATCACTCGCTAACGTGCAGTAGACCGCAGCAATGAAGTTAAGACTGGTGGTGAAGTTCCTGAGAAGGGTCGTCTTATCACTGTCGCAGTCAATAACAAAGAGGATCTGTCGCGAGATATCCTCAAGGCTGAGTCGTGCGCCATGTCTTGCCCTGAACTCAACCTTAGTGTTGAGCCCGGTACGCTTGGTGGCCGATTCACAACTATCGAAGGTCTCCTTACCCAAGTACGCGACGACTTGAGATCTTCGATTTTCGATGTTGGTGATGGCGGTGATTCCATGAACACAGAGACAAAACAGAAGTGGAACACTTTCTTCAACAGTCTCTCAGCAGCCATCAACGGCGACGACAAGTTCACCATTATCCTCAAGGACCCTCTTGCCAGCAGCTATGTGCAAAGCTTTACCGCACCAGAGCCCGATCCGCAAATCAAGGTCGAGGACTACGAGCGGACAGAGGAAGAGGAAGAGGATCTAGGTCTCAAGGACATGAAGACAGAGGGTTACGAAGAGCATGCTGCGACGAACGGTGCGACCACCAATGGTGAGACTACCAATGGCGCATAAGGGTTCGATCAATTCCACGTGCTGTAGATTTCCTTGACTCTTGTTGCAATGGGTCGGCGCTTCTGAAGATACCAGGGCCTCGCCAGCCCCGATGAATACAAAAAAGTTTCCAAATCCCTAGTTTGATGGCCGGTGGTTGTGCTTGTGTGATACTCGTAGTGAGTGATGTTATCATGCGTGACGTTTCCGTTACTTGGCTTGTTGCTCAGCCCGCCAGAGGGTTGGCATGTATGGTGACATTCTTGATCTCAATCCTTTCCTGTGGGCGCGACTTCTTGTCCACCTGCACCTGCTCTATATCATCCAAGACCTCCCAGCCCTCTAGAACCTTGCCAAACACGGTATTCTTCCCATCCAAGTGTGGAGCGGGGGCAAACGTAATGAAGAATTGGGAGCCGTTGGAGTTCGGACCTTTGTTCGCCATGCTCAAGATTCCTCTGGCATTGTGTCTCAGCGCTGGCCTGATTTCATCTTCGAAGAGCTGGTTCGGCGTGTCGAAAATGGAGGTCGAAGTCTTTGACTTGGGATCGGAGGCGGGCGAGCCGGTCTGAACCATGAATGCGGGAATCATGCGGTGGAAAGGCGATCCATTGTAGAAGCTAGATGCGCAGAGGGCGAGAAAGTTCTCTGCGGTTTTGGGGACGGTTTCGCAGAAGATTTCGAGTTTGATGTCGCCTTTGGTGGTGTGTAGCTTGGCGCAGTCAGAAGGTTGTCTCCTGGAAAAAAAAATCGAGAGGATATTGGTTGGAACTTACGGTGACAGACATGGCGGTGGTGGTAGTGGTGTTGGGCAGAGGGAAGGATTGCGCGTGCAGATGCATAGGAGCAGACGCGGCGAGGTTGGAGAGCTTACCATCTCCACTCTCGCCGCGGCTAGAACATGGTGCGTCGGCCCCATCACTACGTACACTGTTGCAATCGCCCTGCATTCGCTATCATCGCCATTGCCCTAGCCTTCTCGTGCCCCTGGTATATGCCCTGGTCTGGTGCTCCACTCCATCACTAGGCGCGCCAGCTCTCCAAGCTCCAAGTCCAGCTCAGCTCAACACAGCCAGAGCCCTACTCAGTCTTGGGACATAGTAACCCACCACAGGCTCCAGCCTGCCCGCGCACCTACTCGCTCCATCTCGTATCTTCCTCGCCTCCTTGCCGGTCGGCCCGCTGCGCACCCTCAGGTTCCCCTGTCGCCCATCCAGAGAGACCCCGCTGGTTCAAGATTCGAGGCGTGCGCCTTACATCGCCCTAACCCCACACTCCCGCGGCCCTCAAGGCTGCCTACCAGTAGCTCCAGCACACCCTCTCGCACAGCTACCTGGTCGCCCACTTCACTGCACCATCGAGCGACCATATTCAACGCGAGGCCTGGGTGCTCAAAGGCCACGGTCACGCTCATGCAGCGCCAGCTGCGGTCCCAGGCTTGCGCCGTGAGATTCAAACATGTCGGCCTTTGTGCGCGTCTCAGGACCGCCAAACAGTAACTTTCTGATCGGCTATCCTGGAATATCAGCTACACTTGTACGTGCTCTTAGCCTGTTCCCCTCGTCATTGGACACCTGGCGCTCCAATTTGCCCATCTGGAGCCGCTGCACGGCGCGCAGCCCTTTCGCAACACTACTTGGCTAATGCTGACACCTTTCAGCCCCGAATAGAAGGCAAAGTCGAGATCCGCCCACTCGTTGGTATCTCAGCACCTGTCAATGTCTCGCTCGTTACCATTGCCTTGCACCGTCGTGAGACGATACACCCCTCCGCCGATTCGGCCGCAAGGAGGCATTTGGCCGCCCCGCGCAAGGAAATCACGGATATTGTGGGCAAGGAAATGCTCCTGTACCGATGCTCGCCTGGGAAAGAATACGAAAGCGTATTGTGCATGGACCTGCCCTTCGTCATCTTCATACCATACGGACGCGGTGGCGAGGAGGTAGCGCGGAGAGTCCCGCCCGCAAGCTTACAGTTACCGAGTCGTACGGCCGAGACATTCTACGAACTAGTCGTGACGGTTCAGCAAGGACCGCAGGAACAGAAGAAGTACCCGTTCGCAGTACCGATACAAAGATACGATACCCTCTCCACATTTGGCATGTACAATCGACCAGAGAGTGCGGAACGAGTGACGGATCACCTCGTCACCCTTGGGATAAGTTTGCCGCGTTGGAGTTATGGTCCGCTCGATCCGGTTTCAGTATACATCAAGCTGAGTCCAAACCCGGACTGGCTGAACAAGGCGAAGAAAGTTACGATACAAAAGATTACGGTTGGCATAGATGAGGAGATTATTTTCAACCACGAAGGAGACGAACCGACACGGAAGGTGAAGACATTAGTGAAAACAACACAGGCAGTCGGAGTCAAGATGCCTGAAGCGGGCTATTTCACCAATCTTGGGCTCGTCTTCCCGGCAAAGGATTTACGAGATAATACAGGAATAATACCCAGAGGACAGAAAGAATTCCCAATGTACGCTGTAAATGGCTTCACGACAACTGGTACACTGTATAAGATTGAGTATTATCTTACAGTAAAGGTAAGCTGAAGCAGGTACAATCTGATTTCAACTGCTTACCAGCCGTAGGCACAAATGTCGTCAGCGCGAGATATCTTGCTCCGCCAGCCCATCGTTGTATGTCCATTTGATCATGCTGGCTGCAAACAAGAGATGGAAGCCATTGAACAAGCCGCCAAGGACGCCGCACATGTCGCACCTGAAAATCCTATGCTTCCTGCTAGCACTATCATTCGATCCAACGACCCTGAAGGCCTACGCGCTCTTGGTATTTCGATTGTAGGAGGTGTACGAAAACCACTGATTGAGTGAAGAGCCATCACAAAAGAGTTGGAATTCAGAAAGGATATGGTTGTTTGTGGAAAGCCGCTACGCTCGAGTAGCATATGCCTTGTGTGCAAGCATGAAGTGCACAGCGAATACCTTCCGTTTATCACGACCTGGGCTCAGTGTTATCCTCTCTGCTTCAGCAACGACTCTTTTGAAGCGGAAGCATTGTTGGATCCCTTCCGGCCCCCACTCCCGAAACCTGGGAGTCCCCAGTCGTGCATAGCCATGTGCGATACAAAAATATCACTGGGCATACAGCACAGACTACAAGCAACGTTTGCTCCAACACAACCATGAGCCGTCTCACACCGAAACCGCCACCGCATGCATTTGGTCTATTCGAGCATACGACCGGCGCAACGTCTTATACCCAGCGGTCTTGTACACTGTATAAGTCGAGTCCTTGAGTTTTTTTGTTCATATTTCTTTCGTCGGGCGTTTGGTGACAGAGGGTACGTGGGTGAATGGGACGGCCGCTTCAGCATTTTTGTCGTTATGATACCTTCAGTTTCTTTCTTTTTTCAACTTTTAATCGTCATCTGTTCAGGTTGCAAGCGAGCAGGAGCCGGATAGGAGGTTTAGTTGTACGAAGATTTGCAGGGCTGGCCATGTAGAGAGTGAGGGTGTGTCAGGTGGATAACAAGAGGTGCTTAAGTGATGAGAGAAGAAAGAGAAGTCGAAGATAGTATTACCACTACTGTATTTCACTCAGATTACAAAGTATAATACTCTTTTTATCGGTTACATACAACTCCTCCTTTGGACCCCCGATCTGTTCACTTGCTCGTTTTCAGGGGCCGACCTATAGACCATAACCAATAGCACCGCTGTAAACTTCTGTCAAACATGCACGTGAGATTGGGTAGACTAAGGGTTAGTGGGAAATGTCGGCAGTGTGGCAAGAATGCCGCGGAGGTTTGTCATTCGAATCTTTTAGAAATGCAAGCTTATCGATAGGCTGGCGCGTTACGTGACTGCAAAGGGTCCTATTCTCCGCGACATCGGCTTCGCACCAGGAATCTTTTGCATGTATTTGGCCTGCGTCCCTCTTTCCTTCTTGATTTTGCAACAGATATCCTCTTGCGCAGGCAACTGTCTTTCTTATCCATTCGTCTGACGGTCAAATTTATTTTGCTTCTTGAATTACTACTGCAATATCCGGCGCTTGCCACCCCTCGTTTCCCCGCCAATCCTTTGCGCACTATGAGTGCCATTCTTTCTGCAGATGACCTAAACGACTTCATATCGCCGGGTGTCGCGTGCATAAAACCTATTGAAACACTTCCTGTGCAACAAGAAGAGACATCGGTACGCTCTTTGTTTGTATTGGCTTAGGACCGGGCGCATACTAATCTGCTAGAATGCTTATGAAGTCACGACGGAAGAAAAAGCCGCTGCCTCGCAACCGCCACCACCCGCTTCGATATCGCTGACAGACTGTCTCGCTTGCTCAGGATGTGTAACGAGCGCTGAAGCAGTTCTAGTCTCGTTGCAATCGCATACGGAAGTTCTAACGACGCTCGATAAATACCGATCGCTGCGCACTCCATGGCAGGCACAAAACGGGACGAATGGCGTCACAAACGGGTGTGGACATAACGGAACAAACGGCGCTGTAAATGGGAGCCATGATGAGCCCGAGGGAAAGTTATTCGTCGCAAGCGTTTCACCGCAGACGCGCGCAAGCCTGGCAGCCGTCTTCAATGTTTCCGAAGTAGAGGCTGGGAACATGATCTCACAGCTCCTCAGCGGACCAAATGGATTGAGAACTGGCGGCGACAAGGGAAGTGATTTTACCTGGATCATTGACACAAACGCCATGAGAGAGGCTTGCCTGGTAGCAGCAGCAGATGAGGTTACAAATGCGCTCTCACCCGCTGCAGTAAAAGCGTCACCACAACCCGGATCTGAAGGCGCAATTGATACTATCCCAAAGGCACCTATCCTCACATCAGCATGTCCTGGGTGGATATGCTATGCTGAAAAGACACATCCATACGTTCTGCCACACCTTTCGCGCCTTAAATCGCCCCAGGCGCTCACTGGTACCTTGGTGAAGTCGGTCCTCAGCGAGCGCTACCACGTACATCCGTCCCAGATATGGCATCTGGCAATCATGCCTTGCTTTGACAAGAAGCTTGAAGCTAGTCGTGGCGAGCTCACATCTGCTGCCTGGTTACCGAGCTACAACCAGTCCGAGGAGAAGATACGGGATACTGACTGCGTCATTACTGCTCGCGAACTGCTACACCTTGCCGCCGCCCGCGGTATCAACTTTGCCAATCTTCCTCGGTCCCCACTTTCTCAATCAGACCGGACACCATTTCCCGACCCCAAACTGGATGCTTTCTTGTTCCCTTCTTCGCGCCGGAAGAACCAGAGTGTTACCGCAGGATCCTCTGGAGGTTATCTTTACCACATCTTACAAACGTATCAGGCGCGGAATCCGGGATCTTCGATATCAGTAGTAAGAGGTCGCAATGCCGATGTGGTGGAATACTCAGTGGTTCAAGGCTCAGAGACTATCATCAAGGCAGCACGATTCTACGGTTTCCGCAATATTCAAAACTTGGTGCGGCGACTGAAGCCAGCAAGAGCAAGCAGACTGCCAGGTGGCAGGACGGGCGTCAGTAGGAAACCAGGTGGAGCAGGAGCAGCAGGTGAAGGCGTAAAAGATTATGCATATGTCGAGGTCATGGCCTGTCCAGGAGGATGCACCAACGGGGGTGGACAAGTCAAAGTGCAAGAGGTTGAAGAGGTTCGCGTCTACGAGGGCATACAGAAAGCAAATGACGATGCGCCCGTACCAAAGCCTGGTCCAAAGGAGCAGAAGGAGTGGCTGGCAAGAGTCGACGAAGCGTACTTTTCAGGCACAGACTCGGAAGACGAAACGGCCAATGATGCCAGTACAAATGGCCACGCCTCCGAGGACATTGTGGACGGGATATCAAGATCGCACATGAAGGATATGATGGCACATTGGTCACATATTACAGGTGTTGATCAACAGAAGCTAATATATACATCGTACATCAAGGTCGAAAGCGATGTGGGTAAGAAGAAGCAGAGCGATATGGAGCGAGTGGCTGGACTGGCTGTTACCGCTGGTGGTGGATGGTAATTGTTCTTTTTCACTGGGACAAGCATAGACGGGCGTTTTTATAGAATACGGGGAGCGCAGTACTGGTTGGCATTAGAGCATCTCGAGGGATCTGCGAATCTGCTCGCTTGTATTTGCGATATGTTTGTCTTGAATCCTACAACAATAGTTTTCTAGTTTAGGATCACGAAGTACACGAAAAACATCAGCCATCTTTATTCCTCCAAGAGCCTGTATAATTTCTCTCTGTATAACACACTCTGACTCGTGCAGACTCTCTACAGCTCCTTATCACAACCACTCAATATACGTCTCACACATCACCACACATCTCCCGTCCGTCCGGTCCCTTCCCTTCCCTTTCCCACGCTACACCCAAAACAACGGCCCGCAACCGCCTCATTCCGCACGCCACCCGCCCAAACACTAACTTCCAGCGCACAATCTTTTTTTTTTTTCTCTCTGACAACGATAACCCTGGATGGTTCAATCCCAGCGTAATGACTCGAGCACACACACGGACACGGACATCAACAGTGCACGGTTGCATTCAGAAAAATATAGTCTAGTAAGGAAGACAGGCGCACTCTTGTCGCACCTTTGTGTGCACGAGCACTCTTTTTTTTTTGGTCCTAAATTTACTTGGGGACTGGGAGGGTTCGTATGTATCTTTATACAATACAGGTCTTGGCTGTGGTACTTTTCATGGTACTCCAGGGAAGAAGGGTTCGGGTAAGGGGGGGGAAGGAAGATAGTATTAAAGGTCATGGTTCATGGTTTGTACAACTTTGACCGGAAGATTAAGTACGCGCCAGGTCGATGAGATGATAACCGGATTGGGACTAAGTAGTAGTAGGCGGGTCTTAAACGGTTGGAAACACCATCGTGTTGACACATTTTCTTACGATTTATCTTTTCCTGACAGGAAAAAAGTCAGATGAATACATGTTATCCCTGCGTGCTCCTCAGCCCCAATTACCTCAGACAGGTTGGGGTGATGAGGGTAAGATTTGTTGCGAGAAAGATGATCTGGTAAAATGACTTACTAAAGTTATGTAAGAAACCGAGGCACACACCTATCCGCCGAACCAGCAAAGGGTCTTTCTACTACTATCCTGGCAAAAACAAAAGACCCTTTTTTTTTCCTCTTTCTCACATAAGTACTTACGTACATACCCCGACTTACCGGACATACTTTAACGTGCGTACGTGCGTGCGTCTTACTTCGAGACTCCCCCCCCCCCTCGGGCACCAAAAAAGCCCACCACCGGCCCTCGTAATCAACAGGGTATATGCAAGTCCGTCAAAGTAAAAAGTTAGGTCCTAGAGAATCAGTACGTAATGCATCGTTTTTTTTAAACTACGTAAAATCCACGTAAAAACAACGTGTACTCGCCCTCTCTTGTCCAACGTAGCAAAAGCTAGTAGCTAACTAGTTATCTGCCGAAGAAAGGGCAAAAAAAAGCACAGATGAATGCTTGCGACCACGCACAAAAGCGTTTGTTCGGCCGATATAGTTACGTTTTTTTTTGGTTCGGCCCAGAACGCATGAGATGTCAGCAATTTTGGGCCAGGGTAAGGGTAAGGGTACAGGCGTTGTTGGCTCAGAGGCAAGTTTTGGGACTTGGGCTGGGATTTGGGTTTAGGATGGCGTGACGATGGTGCAGGGTAGGGTATGGTGAGCATGGCGGAGCATGGGAAGGGTTGGGCTGGGCTGGGGGTGGTCCGAGGGTTGATGTTGCTTGATAATGTATTTGCATGTATGGTATATTTGGGGTCGGGGATGGAAGGATAGGTATGAGGTGGATGAGAAGGAAAACAAGGTGATATGGAATGGTTCTAGTGAGAGGGAGCTGGTGAATAGAGAAATTCTACTTGTCTAAGAGAGAAGAAGGGACAAGAAAGGGCAGCTAGTGGTATCACACTCACTCCCTTTTTCACCCAAGGAGCCAAGGGAGGCCAGGGTACTAGGAGAAAAGGCCGAATAACATGGTAACATACAAATCTTTCTTTGTTTGTTTATTTGATGTATGGGAACTGGACTGAAAAGCCATCCTGGGCTATAATACAAAATATACTATGTCCGTCCGTATTACAATATTACAAGGTTTTGAGTCGCCACTATGGGGTGAGGAAGTGCGAGGAGAAAAAAAAAGGACGCAAGAAAAAGGATGCAAGAAAACAAAGAGACGCTAGGAGATGACGAAAAACGCAAAGCAACAAGACAGTGTGTTGCATTTTTGTGAGATAGGACGCAAGGAGAGAGTGAGGATGGGAGAGAGAGAGAAAATGTATGTAGAGGGAAGAAGGCAGTTGATCGCTCAAAGTTATTCTTTACAACAAACACCGACCCACCACTACCCACCAACCAACCAATGTATGACCAAAGTTATTCCAAAGAAGTCCAGATTCCTTCTTTTCCCCTCCCCTCTCCCCATTTAACCAAACAAGGATATATAGTAAGAAGGTAATGTGTGATGTGAGGTACTCGCCAAATACACAAATTGGGGTATCCGCCAACGAAATGAAGCACAGTTAAAGAGAAAAAAACACTCGGTCTAGTAAGGTATAATGAGAGAGGACGCTCTGCGCCGTTGCCTACTTGAACATGGCGCGGGCGTGCGCCGAAAAAAAACAGATTCCGAAACTGAAAAGCCAGGGCTCAACCCGACAAACCATGTTGCATGGGGAGTCACTGGCGTGTGCTATGTCCGCCAAATGTGCGAAGTCTCGATACTTTCCCCCAAATTAACACGATATTTGGGTACTGCCCACCAGATGTTGAAAGTAAGATGCCGCCCGAGAAGATGATTGATAAAAGGAAAATGTGTTGTGTTGTTACAGAACGAATGTGGAAGTGAGAGTGAAAAGGGCAACTATTCCTGTTGCGAAAAAGTCAAATGATGGTGGGGGGCGCGAAGGACGATGATGATGTGTTATGACGCCTATAACACCGTCCTAGAAGATGCGCTTGCTTTTGAGGGCTTTGTAGCGCATCGCGTCTGTGTCTATCTTTCTGTAATCGTGCACCGTTCCAGACGGGAGAGCTCAAGGTCGTAGGGTCGTATAGGAAGCGACAAGGAGCGGGTACGGTGACCCAAATTACAATTATACGGATGAAGGAACATGCAGCGAAGGCAAGGCGAAAGGAAGTACGGGTCCCGTACGGTTGGATATCATCGGTGTCGGGTTTGGGCAGCCATGAGGCTAGCCGCGACACTCGAAGCCCAATCCAGATCGCCATCGGATGGTGGTGTTGGCCACTTGGACACGGAGTCGTTGTCGTTGGGGCGAGTCTTGGAGATGTCCATGGGCTTGCTGGGGGTCGCGTACGCCGACTGCCCAAAACCGACGCTGTTTCGGTTTGACGACGGTGAGGGTGTCAGGTAAGATGCAGCAGGGCCAGACTTTTCGTTGTCCAGCTTTTTCGCAGCCTTGTGGGTTGATGCGAGGACCTCGCTGAGGAGCTCCTCTTCTTCATTTGGTGTCTCGTACCGATTGGACGGGTTCGACTTGTTTTGAAGCGCACGACGTGTCCTGCTTGAGACAGGAGCACCGCCACTCGTCTCTCCGTTTCGTGGCTCAGGTCCATGTGGGACCGAGTGGTGGCGCTTAAGCATGGGATTCGATGCAACGCGCGAGCTCTTTATTGAACCAGCCTGTTGGGAATGGGCTTCTACGCTGTCTCTTACATGCTGCAACGCCTTGTCTAGTTCAGAAAAGTCCGACGTCGAGGCTGACGGGGCTGGAGCTGGTGACTGCTCCATGATCAAAGACTGCCTAGCGCTGCTGCTGGCAGTGGCCCAGGGTGCGCATCCGGCGTTGGCCTCAATGTCATCCGAGTTCGGCGACATCGGGGTTTGGTACCGACCTGACAAGCGTCGAGCGCGCTTCCTGAGGTGTGAGAAGAAACCTTCCTTGTGTCCACTGACAGGAGAAGCAACGTCGGAGTGACCATTCAGTGCCCGCTCGGCCTCTTGGCGGTGCATGTCTGCGTAGTGATTGCCGTGTGAAGCAACAGACAGCTGGCGACCAATCTTCTTTGCAGCCAGCTCTTCGTTGTTGGCACGAACATTGGCTTGTGCAGTCACCTCGGCAGAAAGCGGTGAGATTGGCTTAATCGAAGGCAGAATGGGGATAGGCGCGCCATTGTTGGAAGCCCCGTTTGTCCACGTAGCTCGCTTAGTGGCATTGGGACGTTGCTTAGTCGACCCACTCGCATCACCAGAACTGGCTTGTGCAGGTGATAGGGGCTTCACAGTGCTGTGCTGAGGCACTGCTGGGGCACTCTCACGAGCGACCAACGATCGACGGAGCCACGAGGACGTCTTTGATGTGAGCTTGGGTGAGGCCTCAGGTGAGTCTTTTCCAGAGAGTTCAGAGCCCTTGCGGCCCAAAAGTCGCGAGGAAGAAGACTTGAGCCGTAGGGGGTCAACGGCATCCTGGAAATATTCATGTTCGAGAGCCTGTCGGGATGTAGGCCTAGCTCGGGGATCCCATAGAAGACACCATGTGACAAACTGGGCCAAACTGGCTGGCCATTGGGGCGAGGGGAGTATTGTGTCGAGCGAGTGCGGTGCCATCTTGGGAAAAGAGAAGCCCAGCTTCTGTGCTAATTTGACTCCGTCTTTCCACTCACCACCGCCAACTCGCTGACCATTCTTGTTGACCCAGCTTCCAGGGCTGCCCATGATCTCGCACACCCTCCATACCTGATCGACCTCGTTTCCACCAGGGAACAGCGGCTTCAATGTGGCAATCTCAACAGCCATGGCGCCAACGGCCCAAATATCAACTGGTGCTGAGTAGTGGCCGGCCCGCAGCAGAACCTCGGGAGCGCGGTACCACCGGGTCGAAACGTAAGTAGTGTAAGGAAGCTTGGAGTGGGTTTCCCTGGCGAGTCCAAAGTCGGCAATCTTGATCGTGTATACTGGTGGTGTCGATGGCGGTGTCATCATGGCGGAGTATCGGCGGAAGGGGTGCGATGTGTCGTTTTGTTGCGATGTGGAGACGAGGATGTTCTCTGGCTTGATGTCACGGTGGAAGAACTCGCGGTCGTGAATGTGTTCCAGTCCGGACATGATCTGAAAGAGGATGCTCTTCACGCTGTGTGCGTCCATGGGCTTGTGCTCGCGAGCCTTCATGAGCTGGTACAGATTGCCGTCCATGAACTCCATGGCAATGTGGAGCCTACGGGTGTAAGGATCCAGGAAGATGTCCAGGGCTGGTACCAGGTGAGGGTGTGGTGGTAGTGATCGCAGGAAGATGACTTCTCGTAGCTCAAGGCAGCTTGAGAATGAATCAAATGTCTTCTTCATGGTCTTGATGGCCACCTGGAAAGCGCGTCAGTCGGTGGGGGGTCCATGTCACTGTTGTCATCGTGTACTTACTAGTGTGCCGCGGCGGGCAATGTGAGAGCCAGCAGTTCGGACGCGGGCAAGTGCGACACTACCGAAGCTGCCGTCGCCAATCTCCTTCATCACTTCATACCTCTCCTCGAGGGATGCCCAGCCGTGAGGCTGGACTTGTGATTCTGGATGCATTTTGATGTGAGTATGCAGTGGATCTGTGTGTTAGAAGATCTGTTGGTAGCAGATGCTCCTGATTGAAAAAGGACTGTAGGGTTGTTAGAAAGGAGAAGGTGAGACCATGTCACGGGTAGAGTGAGACTGGCCTGTAGAACAAGTCCTTGGGACGGTGTGGTGTTTGATGGCGGGACGGGTTTAGTTCATGTCATTCGAGGAATCGAGTTTGTGGTGAGTGACGACAAGGTGGTCCAGTAGAGAGGTAGAGGGGATGATGTGTCGACAAGCTGGAGGGGGAGGGGGAGTTCAGTGCGTATCGAAGGGTGAGATGCGATAGGAGGGTGTTGTAAGGGTCCAGGTTGATGCAGGTGCGGGAATGTCGAGAAAATGAGAGACGACGGTTGGGAGGACGTGTGGAGACGTGCCCGGGACCACGGTAGACGGGTAGTATTCCGTAGCTCAGGAAGTTCTAGTGAAGATGAAAGCGGAATGACTTTGTGATCATAGCTCGACTGGCTTAATGATCGGGCTGGGAGATTGGAGCGCGCCTGTGCGTTCGGGGGAGTAGGGATGTGGATTATGGAATGTCAAGTGAAGGAGGGCGAGGTTGGCCAGGCGCAGGTGATTTGGCGGGAGTGGAGGGGGGCGTGGTTCGAAGACACGACGGTCTAACGGGAGCGAGACGTGACGCAGCAATGGGCAAGACGCACACGAAGACGCGCCAGGCTACTCACACGTGGATGTGATTGATGGACGGGCGTGTATAATGAGAGACAGCAAGGGGTGCGGCAAATGGGCGTTAGCACGAGTCGCGAGGCTAGACCCAAGAGATTAGAGTGGAAGCGGCGCTCCGAGAGGGTTATGAGTCGTAATAATGAAGATCGCGCCGCCCAGACGGGGCAAGTGCGGTCTGCTGGGCCAGGAGCCGGTCTGTTGCTGTGGTGAGGGCGGTCTCTGCTGTGTGCGTTGGCAGCAGAGGCGGCAGATGGCGGAGAGACGCGACGGGGTGGGCTTAGCTAACGCGCGAAGCAGATGCACGGCGAGACCAGGCGGGGGAGGGCAGAAGTATCAGTATGGCGGTCAGTCAGGGCGGGAGCAGGAGGCATGACGGCGCAGGGCTGTTGGTTTTTGAGTGAAGGAACGAGAGTTAGTTTAGCTGGGCAATGTGGCGTCTGTTTGGGGGGGAGGCGGATGCGAGGGTGAATGGCGCGAGATGAGGGCACTGGGGGGGAGTGTGTGTGGGTGTGGGAGGGAGGGGTGGTGGGTGGCTGACTGTTCGACGGGATCGGGGCGAGTGGTGAAGGACGGCGCGAGGGCTGTTCCAAGCTTAGCAGAAAGGAGCGTTGGGCGCGCCGAAGCGGGCTAGCGGGGCGAGCGGACATGGGGGCAGGCGAAAGTGGCCGCGAAATGCTGTTTATTTTCCCCCTTTCATTGGGCCCCTGCGCGTCCTTTTCCCGACAGGTCAGTGGTGCCCAGTCAGTCACGTGCATGCATTACTCTGTGTCGCTGTCTGTGAATGAATGCATGGGGGCTGATGCGTGTCAATGTGCAGGCGCTCTCCCTCGTACCCAGCCCCAGCCATCCACGCTGCCTGCCTGCCTATTTCCTCACTACGTTGTGTGTCAGTATGCATGTACATTCACATCTGGCCCATCTCTCTAGTGCCCATCCAATACTCACTTAGACATCTATACTTAATTCACCGCACAACAGCGACCCCCCGTCCCCAAGCCCAGCCCAACCCAGCACAACGACAGCACAGGACAACACAGCAATGCACAGCCCTGGCCTCACCGCAATCCCTCGCCCTCCAGCATAAGCACCGTTGCTTCTCCCACCACCATGCCACCCTCCATGCCCGCCACCACCCCGCTGCAGCTCGCCTTGCAACCCGCGCCGCACCCTTCCATCCACCAAGCCGCTGTCTTGTGTACATGCATCCATGCATCCATCCTCCCGCCCGCGGTTGCACAAAGTATACACACTTAGCTGGTGCGCGTAGCCCCGTCGCGTGCGCCCAGGCTCGCCCGTATCCCAGCTCCCAGCATCCCAAGGGCGCGCCAGGAACGTCACAGGCACCAAGCCAGCATCAGGCTGTCATTTCACTGCGGCCCACGTTTCGCATCCCTTGCCTTGTCGCTCCGCCGGCGCCCGGTTCCTGATTTGTCGTGGTAGGTTCCTGGCCGCCTCTCATGCAGCCTTACTCAATTCGCCCCAACCCGGCCTAGCCATGCCGTCGTGCGCATCCGTCAACGTGGTTTGGTTGTCGAGGCGTGCCTTTAGCCTTCCCGCGGCACACCGGAACAGCCACCGTCTCTGTCGCCGTCGAATCCATCCCCTGTCCGAGTCAAGGAATAGGCGAGTAAAAGGACCGTCCTTGATGCGCTGATGATGTGCGCTCCCCCCATCGTCATGGCATGCGAATATGACCACATCTCCCTTCTGCCAAACCTGCCCACCTGCCTCTCGCGGCGCTCCAATTCGTGCCCGCTGCGACAATAGCACCCTCGCTTCTCAGGGGGGAAGTGGTCCTGAATGTCAGTCATGCCATCATCCCAACGCCACAGTCCCAAGCCATGCCGCCCTCGACACATGCAGGGCACCGCGCGGGGTTGCGCTGGTCTGCCCGACGCGTCGTCAAACCTCCCTCGCTCTGATCGACCAAACGGCAGCGTGCTCCAGGCCCAAACTCTATTTTCTCCCGCCAACCTTCTTCGCGGCGCACTTGCTTGCCCTCGATCAATAGACCCATTCTTGTCCTCGACAGAGTTTTTGCCCACCCTGACCCAAATTGGGCCGACGCTTTTTCTCTCTGTATGTGTGTGTGCGCCCTCTGCCTTTGGGGGAAAGAGTGTCTGCGTCCGCACTCCAAATGTAGCAGTTCCCCTCTTGCATGGCCCTGTGCGCCCTGTCATTCTACAGACCCTGACTGTCAACCCACTGAAAATGTCCCAAGCGTCCTGCAACCAAGTCGTCGCCTTGCTGGGCGACCTGTTGCCGTCAACCGCCAGCAGGATTTGCTCCGGGACCCCCATTCTTCCAGAACACTTCTCCCGTGCTATCCTCGTGTTACAGCCCATGCAAATAGATTGGCGGCCCACCCCTAATCCTGCCTCATGTCCATAGAATCTCCGAAGCCTGCAACTCCTTTGTCGGGCACGACGCTGCGCCGTCGGCTTGTTGGAAAAAAAAAACCTAGCTTTCCACCTTACCACACACGTACGAGTTTTTCGCTGACTAGCATGCTTCACCCACCACCGCACTTTTCCCGGCTATTACTGCACCGATCGTCGATGGCTGCTCCCGGGGCAACCAACGCTGTTTGACCATGTCCCTTCCCAACTTTGGGTCCCGAGCGTGCGTTCGGCCAATTTCAAAGCTAGAGTGGCATCCAACCAATGGTTCCGCCATCACCACAGCCTAAACATCTCCCACTAGCTGTGACCACGGCAGGGGCCTTTCAAACCATGGTCCGTACCGGATAGGGTAGCCATCACCGGATTCCATCTTGTTGAAAAGCAACCTCTGTTGCGCGCTTAACTTTTCGCACATGTCTGCATAACCTTGATCACGGTTTTCGCGCACCATCACTTGTAACAGCAGCCGAGATGTGGGCGGACTACTTACACAAACATTGCACAAACATACGAGGAGCCTACCGCGCGACACGCCTCGGGCGCATGCGGTACTCTCGGTCCCAGAAAATCTCTCATGTTTCTTGGCAAACCCGGTTCCGGCTGCGCACCCACAGTGAAGTTGAACACACTCTTTGTTGCTCTGCCCTTTTGCGACACCGAGCTTGTCAATGCCAAAGCATTCCAGGAGAAAAAACGTCATTGTGATGCTGTAGCCACTTTTGCTTTGTTCGCGACGCGGCTGCTCCGAAAGCAAAAGCACAAAATGGTAGCAGAACAAGCAAATACATAGTCATGTTCGGCTTGAAAAGCAGATCTGATAGCACGGGCAGATGAGCCTCGAGCCACCCGTTTGTTCCACACTGATGAAACCATCAATCGTCACCTCTCACCATGTGGCGCATCTGTCTGCAAAACGACGTAGGTGCGAAGGATTTCTAATGTGAGGTCGTGCAATCTCATCCTCTCTTTGTCGGCGTTCATGCTCCCCAGCCTCTCAGCTACCCGAGGCATAACATCGCATTTGATTGAAACACGCCATCAGATTTGATAGCCCGCTTATCTCCATTTCGTCGGTGGTTTATTGACTCCAAGGTCAGATCACGGTCTCTCCACGCATACACATCTTTGCCCAGTCCACTTGTTCTCCGAAATCCTTTCTCGGCAGACCTAGTCCAACGTCAGCTTAACGTCTATTTGCATACGTAGAATCCGGCCCGAAGCATATGGCCATAATACGCCCGAGTGATAGCTATTGGCTGTTGGCGTTGGAGCGATTCGGATTGTTCCGCCAGATTCACGGTTACGTGAGCATCGATTCTCGATCACCGCTGGCTTATCCCGATGGAAAGGTCCGTCTGATCAAGGATCCCGTGCAGTTGCTGCATATCCGCCTAGCTGCGCTATCTTCACCATACTAGGCCATACTACTACCGGAGCTGAGAAACATAGCAGTGGATTCTCGCTACACAGACTCCCAGCTGAACAGAAGCCAGCTGTAGAAAAAACATTATTTGGTAGCCAAACTCTACAAGGCCAATCATCCTTCTCATGCATTTGCTCATCGCGCCTCACTTGTCTCAACAAAGTGAATCCTCTTATTCGATGTACACCGCCAAAAACGGACGTCGTGGCTTGACAGCAATATGCATGTGCGTCTTCCCATGCGAGATGCATGCAAAAACACATTCACACACATATACCCCACATTTAACTGCATCACGCAAACCACGTCATCCAAAACCAATATTTACTTGCTAAAGCTAGTTTCTCACTTGTTTATTTTGATGTGATTGATGTTGTTGATATCTTGTTCGCAGCGTGTGAAATGGCAGCTCCAATTGATTCATTCGTCAACCCAGATCCGAGCCCGAGCTAAACAGAGACATTGAGAAACTCAGCCAGCCGGTGAAAATAAAACAAATATGGAAAGAACAAGCGATGCATCCGCCATCGATTGGTCGATCCAAGAAAAAAGAAACCATTGACGATAATTGAGCAAAGACAGGAAATGAGATCGGGAGAAAAAAAAGAAGAACAAGAAGAACAAAAGAAGAATGCGCGGATATCGATAACCAGTGTCAGTACGCACGATGCAAAATCCCCGCATGTGCGCACACACATATCCCATCACACCCGCGCACCACCACTCGCCAGCCATCGTCCTCAGCCGTCCTTCCACCCGTCCGCCACCACAACCACACTTTGAGTAGCGGAATATGAGCAAACGGGACAGTTTAGACCCTTGCCTCATCTCCCTCCGTCCCCGTCCATACAACAAGCATCAATCAATTATCTTAACACATCAGATTAATAACATCTATATCCTAACCCCGCTTTCTCCCCTCGCTACCCCAACTTTAATCCGCGTGTCTCTCGTCTCTTCCCCCCCCTCTTTCTCCTCAAGACAGAGCGGAAGCCATGGAGAAGGAGTGAGGCAAAGAGAGACACACAATAAAAGAGCGGAAAGCACGGGAGATAAACGAGAAAAGGTGACTTCCCCGAAAGAAAAAGAAACAAAGAAAAGAAACAACAAGAATCAATGAAGCAAGACCGTTAAAATCAGCCACATTGAGAAAGAGGGTTGTGGAAAAGCAAAAAAAAACCTAGAAAAATCCAAGAGAGAAAGACCTTCAAGACCGAAAGAGAGACCTAAAGACAGACAAGGGAGAGAAGAAAAAAAACTCGCTCACCATGTCAACTCACCTACATCCCGTAAACTCTTGCATCTGACCGACTACCACCTTACCAGATTAACCGACATTTTTTTTCTTCTCTGTTGCTCTAAGTTCTGGCCTGTCTTGCCCGTAACCCATCCCACCCCACACTCCCCCCCCCTTACCTGAGCTAGTCCATGCGCAGGTACCGGAGTGAACTACTCCCAATGTTCAACAAGTAGTCAGTTGGTGGTCCAAGACTATATGTCTTGACCGCCTTTTTCCATGCACGCAATGCAAGCCACATACACACTCACATACCACCCCCACACAGCGAGCCAACAAGCCCCCCCCCTCCCGGTGGGGCACAGACTCTAAAATAGTCTCTCTCTCTCTCTCGCGTCTCGTACGCCGGTCTCTTTACTTACTTACTTCGTGTGCTTACTGTACTTAGCTTGCCTTTCTACCCTTAACTCTGCCTATCCATGCAAGTCCCCACGGTGCTGTCAAACTGCCACTAACGCACTATGTATATGCCGACAGGGAACGCTGGCTCGCGGCTGAGCGGCGAGCGGCCTGGTCGTCAACCTTTTCGTTGAGACTTACCACTTACGGGATACGGTGAAAAGAGCGGTCACGTCGGACTATCTCCGAGGCGAGTAGAAGCGATTCATGCTTCCATCACGACATCGCTGCATACCCATCACAAAATTCACTCTAACATGAACCCAATTAAGCATCATGAATAAGCCAACGTGTATTGACACTATGTACTCTATGGACATCGCAGATCTGCTCTAGAACAACTAACCCGCATTCGAGTAACTGCAAATGGTTAGCCAATCGCCAAACCAAAAGTACATTCAATGTAATGAATAGTATATGGTGCGGGTTCAGGTCTCCAAGGTGATTGTATCTTCAATGTGATTAAGAAAGAACACAGCGAATCATGTTTTTCATCATACGAAGGGGGGGGGGAAGAATAAGCAAGTAATGGCACTTACCGAAGTCGCAGAAAGCAATTGTGTATCAAATGCGCAAAGCCAAAGCTGATATGAACACGTTAGCCTGTGTCCATGAAGAGATAACGATATCCATAAAACATGAATAGAACAAGTCCATCGAGTTTCAGCCTAGAGCGAGTTAGTTAACAGTGACATAGCAAGGATTCACAGCCTCAACATACCTCATTAAATCAGATTTGGTTGTAGTGATCAGTATGACGGACGCTCGTTACAACGCCGCCACTCACACAGTGTGAATATCAAGAATCATCATTACAATGATGGACTGTCTTTTAAGAACAAGAAAAATGCCGTACCTGTGGAGTCTGTTAGAAACATTCCACAAAAATATGTCATCATATGTGTGAGAAAGTAGGGCAATCAGTGATGCTTGTATCAACAAGTAATGCCTCTTCCAAACACCCACAGGTTTGTACGCCTGCTTTTGATGGATGCCCAGTCGAGGTATACGTTATGTCCGCCCGACGCATCAAAGGGTTTCATCAGGAAGCTGGGGGGTGTTCGCGGGATGCACAGGGTTTGAGCACAGGGAGTATGTACCTATTTAAGCACAGTTAGCACCTTGATTGCAAGAAGAACTATGCGAAATGCAATAGGTTTGAGCAGTGTCAGACAAGGCTGAAACTAAAAGCAAGTGTGTCGACATTGTATATTCAGGTCGAGGAATGCCTTTCCGTGTCGTGTTTTCATCACTCTGCGGATGGTGGGGAAGGGTAGTTGGAGATGCCTTACCTTTAAGAAGAAAAAGAAACTGCATCCCTATGGATGACTGTCAATCCTAGGTGTCACTACACTGGAGCTTTGTTAGCGATTTGCGCAAATATAAAGCTGTAACAAGGCGCGTATAGTTGTATGCATCATTGTAATTCTAGAGTTTGTGTAGTCCTTCACGATGCTGTAGGATTTGGATTGTTCGTATGTGATAATCTTCTGCAGGAGTCGCGGGAGCTGGTGATGGCTTACCTGCTGTGTTCGCATGTGCGATTGATGCATTAGTACTGATCAAAGACGATAGAGAAGCGCGCAAAGCAAACGCGTTGTGTGGTTGGTGATGAGAATGATGTAGAGAACGGTTTTGAGCTCCAGAAATTTTAGCTTCGAGCTCGGCGCCGAGCCTCCGTAGCGCCGCTTATGTAATGTCTCGGTCGCGCAATCACTCTTTCCTCGCTCGTCCAAATCAAAACGAAACTATTGGTACGAGTTTATGGAGGGTGGAGAATAAGAGATTCTACTTATTTTTCTGTTGATTTGTTTCCAAGTTCTGAACTCTGCATTGACCATAGATCTTAATGGTAGGACTATAGTGCTCTTCTTCCGAAATTGATGCTTTCATCACTACGACCGCATAGCCCAGTCCAACTTGCTCTGTAGAATATATAACATCACAGGTCCCAAGTAATAGTATCACGAGCTTTTCGGATACTTTCGTTGGTCAAATTTAATCATTTAATCCAAACCACAACAAGACTGCACCTGTACGCATGTATTGTTTCTTTAGGGTCTTGCCTGAACATAAAAGCGGTGCATTGATCGAGTGTGAAAACTAGGCTTGGAAACAAATCTCGGCATATAGAGGTACATACTATAAAAGTTTCACAGTACATGTCAATAGTTTCATTCTAGGTTAGTATGCTACTAACTCGTCATATCGACGAGCAGGGAAGGTCTTTTTTGCCATGCCAAACACACAAACAGATCCTGCATAAGTTGCTTTGTGATGAAGAAAAAACCTCGACATAGGAGTGCACCACATGCACTGCGTGCAAGTGCCTTAGATCATCTTGCTGTCGATAGTATATGTCCATCTCTTTGTGTGCCATATTGTATCCAAGTTGAGTATGGAACAAGATTGCTTTCCTCATGGAGGAAAACCTTGATGGAAAAAGCGATAAGCTGCAGCTGTCCTTCTCCAACTGACCTACGTGCTATGTGTTCGTTCATCCTTTCTCATTCGTTTAGTAACAGAAATCACAAGAGTCAACTATATTCCGTGGGGGTTCGATAATCAAAAACCTACTTTGCACATAGAACACCGATGTCTATTCATTGCATCAGTGCTACACAGTAACACTCCTATCACATACATGTACACAATTTCAAACAAGACACAGGTGAGAGTAGTTGATCCCGCAAAGTTCCTCGCTTTAAAGAAAAGTATGAAAGGGCTTTGCATTTTGTGTCATGTATCTAAGCTCGCTCGTCAATGTTGCAGAAAAAACACACTCCCCCCAGACTATGTAAATGGCCTTGTTCGAGCCGTTCAACTGCCTCAGAATATACATTATGAAAGTAGAGGAAGTAGAAGGTGTAAGAAGGGGGAGAGGGTATGAGGGTATGGGGTATGCAGAGGGAGAGAAAAGAGGTAGGGGTACACAATGCAGGACGATGATAATGTCCAAAACAACACCACTCGTCCAACGATGTATGTGCCAGAGATGCGAGCATTACAAATCGTTGAAAGCATAAAGACATATCAAAAAGGTAAAAGGAATAAAAGAACCGTCGACAATATCGAAGCAACCTTTGCCGAACAAGTGTAACAGTGGGTATGTAGCGTGTTTTGTAATGATCCCTCCCAGTGTGCGCCGATAGAAGCAGGTGGCAAAGAAGCAGGTACATGAAGGATAAAGGTGTGGGATGGGTGGATGAAGGAGCTTAGAAGCAGTTGAGTGTACCCTTCTTCCTGCCCTTCTTTTGGGCGTCGTTAAGAGCTGCCATGCGTGCTTCCAGGTGAGCACGCTCAGCTTCAACACGTAGACGGGCGTTGCGCTCCTCCTCAACAGCTTGAAGAGAGTGGCGTGCTGCGCTGCGCTCCTTGCGCATAACATTGAGCTCTTCTTCTAGAGTGGCGCACTTCTTCCTGAATTGATCCAGATCAGCCTTGGTCTTTGTGCTGGAGGCCTCGAGGTCAGTCAAAGCATCCTCCAAGGTGGCTGTAAGCTGCTTCTCAGCAAAGAGATGCTTCTCAATGGTGCGAATACGAGCTTCCTGGTCCTCGACCAACTGAGCATGAGCAATGTCCTTGCTTTGGTGACGCGAGGTAGGAGGGGAAGGTGCATTGGTTTGGGGTGGCGGACTGCCAGGAGGAAGAGGGGGAAGAGGAATGGCTGGCGGGGGTGAGGGCAAGGACGTGTGTGCAGCGTTTTTGCGCGCGGTGGAGTTGTTTGAGTTGGATCGTTGAAGGTCCTCGCGGGGATCCATGGATACACGGGCAGAGTTGCGCTTTGCATCAACAAGTTGGGACTAGTCACGTTAGATATGTCCCATGGGTAGGAATGCGGTTGAGCTTACCTCTAGAAGCGCAATCTTGATGCGTGATTCCTGTACTTCCTTTTCGAGTTCCTCGCTGTGGGTCATAGCATCTTGAAGCTCGCGAGAGCGCTCAGTTTGCAGAGCAGAGAGTCGGTTGTTGGCAGCCTCATGCTGGTCCCAGTTCTGGTTGAGCTGGTCCTCCAGTTCTTGTACAAGACGAGCACTCTTGAGCTCTTTCTCGCTGACCTTCTCAAGCTCTTTCAACGTCTCGGCATTGATAAGCTCAAATTCTTTGAGGTTGCCCTTGAGCTTATTGATGGTGCTGGTAGCATCTGCAAGTTCCTTCCTTGCTGATTCAAGGTCCTTGACAGCTTCATCTAGTCGACTGGCAATTGACTTGCGCTCTTTGACCAACGCTTCGATATGAGACTGGATGGTGCTGATGTCTGTTTCTTCGCCCAAGGCCTCCGAAACACCTTGAAGTAGCGTCTCCATCTCGGTCTTCGCCTTAGAAAGATCAGCCTCCAGAGAAGATGCTGTCTCCTTGTGAGTAGTAAGCTCTGATGTGAGCTTCTCGAGCTCAGCAGCGTGTGTCTTCTGGATAGAGTCCATGCCTTGTTGATGGTACTCGATTGCTGCCTTGTGCTCCTCAATCTGTCTTTCTAGGTTGGTGACAAGAGATCGATGGGTCTCGAGTTCTTTCTCGGTAAGTGAACGGGCCTGTGAGTCTTCCTCGAATTGCCTGACAATGTTGGTATGTGACTCCTCAAGCTCGGCAAGACGAGCAGCGTTGTTCAAAGCTGTAGACTTGTGTTCGTCCACCTCGGCTTGTAATGCAGCAATCATCTCAGCGTGCTTGGAGCGCTCTTGTTGCAAAGCGGCTTCGGCTTCGGCACCTCTTGTCTGCTCGATCTCAGACAAGCGTAGAGCGTGGTCTACTTCAAGCCGTTGCTTGGCAGATTCCAGCTCACGAACAGTTTCAACATGCTGCCTCTCCGAGGCCTTGGTGGCTTCGATAGCCTCAAGGTGCTTAGAGTGCCAGTGAGCAGCTTCATCACTAAGCTTGATGAGTTCATGGTGGCGAGCGGCATCTTCGTCGGACTCGCCATCACCGTTGGTTGTCCGAGGGGTATCTGGCATCTGTCGGTGTGAGAGCAGGTCCTCCGATGATGCGCCAAGCTTGGCAGATGTCTTGAGTGTCTCAATTTGAGCTTTGAGCTCCTGCTCCCGCTGAGCGTGCGAGTCCTTCAACTCTCGGATATGGTCCTCATTTTGCTTCATCTGATCCTGCATTGAAGCAACAATAGAGATGTCAAGAGGAGATCCAGCCTTCAAGCTAGAGCGTTCCTTTGTCAAACCACTGATCAAAGTCATTTTGCCTTCCATCTCCTTGCGTATGGACTGAACCTCAAACTCCAGATCCTGAACTCGATCTGAGCGTACTTGAATCTCGGACATGATTGTGTTGAGATTGAGCTCAAAGGTCTGTATGGCGTCTTCGTCCTCATCCAACCTGTCCAGCATAAGGTTTCGAAGAGAGGAAACGGCACGGTTTGCGCGGTCGTTTGCAAGGACTGCTTGACTCGACTTTCGACGGATCATGTGCATTGATGGCGAAGCTGGACGGTTCAGCTGAGCCTTGGTGATCTCTGATTTGAGCTCTTCGACGTAGTCGAGAGTGTCTTGGTGCTGCTCTTGTAGCTCAGCGTAAGTCTGCTGGAGCTCACTAATGCGCTCTTCCTTCTCATTCTGCAGTAGCTTCAAAGCCTTCAATTCCTGAACAAGGACAGTGTCAGGAATGTGTTGCTCTTGGCTCAGAGAGGCGACTGAAGCTCGTCTCGGAGTGGCCTCATCAGGGCCAACTTCCGTCCCCTCGTCTGGAATACTGGTACTGCCAGACTCCGCTAAGGACAATTCCGCAGACAAGGTACGCGAGGACGAAGGTTGTCCATCCTCTGCTGTGAGGCCATTCACCCCCGCGTTTGATAAAAAAGACGTCGGCCGAGAAGATGGTGCAGATGACGCAACGTGGTGACGCGCCTCATCGACAGAGTCTTGAAGAGCTGCCAAAGTGCGCAAAGCCTCCTGGTACTTGCTGGCAAGCTTCTCGTAGTCTTGGAGTGTCCCTTCGTGTTCTACACGGAGATCAAGCAACTCTTGTGTGACTGTGTCAAGCTTGTCGTGAACGAAGCGGACTTGTGCAGGGCTCGATGGTCCATCGTCGGCATCGTCACGGATTCCATCGTTGGAGATGGCTTTGACAGCAAAATCGGGTTTTTGCTCATCGGCATCAGGATGGTGAGCAGCGGTGCTGGCGGTCTGGGGACGTTCGCTACCAGCCTCCTCGGGAATGGCATCGATAGGAGTACCAAATTGGTGCATGCTGTCAGTGGTCACTCGCCTCTCGAGGTTGGTGTGCTTGTCGATGAAGGGATCACTAGGCGTCTTGGAGTGACCATTGACATGGTTTTCTTCGGTTTTTGTATCCGTCCTGTCGAGTTCGTAGAGCAAGTTGTCTAGTTTAGCCACACTACGTTGTCTTTCGACAACATGCTTGAGTCGCTCAATCTCACGACTCATCATCTCGGTTTCTTGCTCGTTTTCGGCGAGGCGCTCTTCCAATGTAGAGATGTACTCTTCACTGCTGGCCTCGTTCTCGCGAGCTTTTTGCAGCTTTTCGCGCAATTCAGATATTACGGTGTCGTTCTTCTCAATGCCATTGACCGAGGAGTCGATTTGACGTTCGAGCGACTGGACGTACTCTTCGTTGTTGGCGTCACGCTCCATTGCCTTTTGGAGACGAGACTGCAAATGCTGATTCTGGCTCTCGAGGATGGCGATGCGAGTCTCCTTTTCCAACAAATCGCTTTCATGGGTTGACAAGGTAGATCGCGTGTTGGAGAGAGATGATTCCAGCGTCTGAATAGTCTTTTCGTATTCCAGGACAACGGATTCGACGGCCTCGGCGAAAGAGTTTGATCTCTTCAATCGTTCTACTGCAGAGTCGCCGATAGCATCCTTGAGCATAGGCGTTTCCGTCTCGCTGTTGTCACGTGCTTTGGTGATCTCGGAGATAAGCTTAGCGTGACGCGCGCTTAAGGCGTTGTAGTTTTCCTGAATATCCAGTAGCTGATTCTGAAGCTCGGCTTCACGCTCGTCTTGCCGCTCAGCGCGCTCTTGGGGGCTGGTCTTCTTTCTATCCGCACGCTCAGATAGTCGTATCTGGTCTCGGAGAAATTGAACTTCGGCTCGCAACCGGTCAATAGCGGCTTGCTTATCACTGTCGTCATGGACCTGCTGAATCTGGGGTTTACTTTGGATAGCACGGGCGCGCTGCGCGTATTGGACCGTGTTCAGGGTTTCGCTTAGGTGGAATTCAGCTGGGTTGACGCAAGCGATCATGTATGTGATAGCGTTACCGCCAAGCGAATCTTGCAGAAGGCGCGTAAGCCTGGAGTCGCGGTACGAAACATAGCCCCCGTGAGAACGTGCCGACAGTTGCGAAATAACTTTTCCCAGACTTGCAAGACCTGCGTTGATTGAAATACCCTCCTTGGCGCGCTCGCCCTGCGCCCCTGTGTTTTTCAGCCGCTCGCTTCCCGCCAGATCGACGAAATGGAGCTTGCTATCCACAGTTACCCAGCTCTCGCTGGAGCCAGACATCATTTCAATGGGCACGGACCGGCGCTTCTCGCGGGTTGATGTTGTTGTTGTTGTTGGCGAAGATTTCTTCTGGACTAGGTTCAGACTAAAGACGGCATGGGAGCGCGACGATTTGGCGTTGACAGCAGTCGCATCAGTCTGCCGGATTGAGGAGCCGAAGTTGAGAGCACCGAGCAAATCATCGATCGAGTTTACGGGTATTTGGGTGAGTCCAGTGAGAAGAATGCGACCATCACGGTCCTCTCGGATGTTTACCTGAGGTCGCTCGCCGTGAGCTACGTTTTCGGGTAGTAGCAGGTCGCGAAGTTGCTCATTGTAGATCTGCTTGCGTCAGTGCGTGCTTTTTTAAAAACTTTACTTTTTTTTCCTTTTTTGTTCGGCTGAGGGGTCATTACCTCTACATACGTGGCCCTCAGCTGCCAGTTTCTATTCGCCTGCGATGTTGAAGACTTGGCAGTGAAGTTCTGAATTCCAGATAAACGACTTGGAGCGCGAATGCCGGAGCCGGCGCTTTTGTTGGATCCATCGAGTTTGTCGAACAGCAATGCGGCTGCGCGAGGGATGATACCTAGATGCGCAGTCAGTATCACATTGTCTTTTTTGTCAAGAGTGCGTTGGCAAGTTAAACATACCCATAACTTCGGGATCAGCTTGGTCTCGTGGGCCCGTGGTGCCCATTGTGTACGACTTTCCAGCGCCAGACTGGCCGTAGGCAAGAATGGAGACATTGTAGCCCTGAACGAAAGAATGGACGCTGTCTGCAACATATTCGAAGACGCCCTCCTGGTTAATGTCCTGGTCAAAGACACGGTCAAAGATGAAGACCTTCTTGCCTCCAGCCGCATCTACAGTCAGGCTCGAGGGTGAAGTGACGTGACACAAGGCATTGCGAAATCGTTGAGGAATGAGTTCGTAGCCAGGATCTCCATGCTGAAGTGCAGGACGCACGCGGACAGCTGCATTAGAGGGTGGTTAGTGGGCAGCATGCATATCGGACCGTGGGGGGGGCACCTACCAACTTTGACGGCGGTCCTGCTGTCTTCATCCGACGCCTTGCTCTCGCCAGGCTTGCTGCTGATACTCATACGGCTGGAACTGCGATTGGAGCGCAACATGGCGCTCATGGGCCGCGTAACACCGTTGGCGGGCGAGCCTGGTGGTGAAGTGGCCATTTGAGCGGCCGCGGCAGCGCCGTGAGAAGTGAAGGAGTGGTGTGCAGCACGGTGTGGCGGGAGGGCGAAGTTTTGTTTTATACTTGTGGGGTGAGTGCAAGTGGACGGAGCGAGGAGGGGAGGACAGGCGCTGTAGTGGCCCTGGCCGGCATCCGCGTAGTGGTTTGGGGTGGTGAGAGGTAAGTAGTAGACGGGGTGGTGGTGGTCAAGGTGGAGCGCGATGGGGGAGCGCAGGCCGCGACTATGCAGGCTGTGGAGCAGAGCAGCGACAGCAGCAGCAAAGGCGGCGGCGACAGCAGCAGAGCGAGGGCCGCGGGGGAAATAGTGAAGAAGGAATTATTCTGCTTGTGAAGACCAGAGGACAGAAAAGCAAAGCAAGTAGGGTTCGGCGCGGGTCATCAGAGCGACAAAGGCCCCCCCCTAGCGCCAGATGATTTCCAGGGGGAGCGCGCGCCTTTGACAGCACCCACCCCCGAACCATGCAGAGGGCGCCCCGAAGTAGAAGAGGCCAGGACCCTGACCTGCTGCTCGGCGTGAATGTGGACGCGCCTTGTCCGCTGCCCGCGCGGCGGCGGGTCCATAAGCATTACTACAAGCAGCAGAATGCAGCCAGCAGCCGTTGTTCCTGCAGCCCGCCAGGCCCATCTGCTCCGCCGGCCTGCATTTGCTGCTGCATTTGCATTGCCCATTGCCCGCCCCCATGCACGGCTTGGGATATACTAAAGTACTTAGACACACTACATGGTAATCCACCACGCCGCACCAGCCCACCCACGCCCTCACCTATCCTCTGCCGCCAGCTCGGCTCGACACTGACTGACACTGGCCATTGGCTCCGACGACCATCTACTACTTACTCACTTACTACTTGCTCACCACCATTCCCACGTGCGAACTAGCTCGCCTACACTACTACCCATACGCCTCCAACCGACGCCTGGCTAGCGATAGCACCAGCACCAGCCCACGACGCTGACATTCGGATTGTCATGTCACCCAGGCGCTCGAGCATATAACACTGGCAGATGCTCTTCATGCATCGGCCGACTGCTCCCGACACGGTAGCAATCATGGCCCATCGTGCTCGCCTCCTGGCCACACACGGCACCCGCGCCCGCAGATCTTGTCAGAGTCGTCTTCGCCCTGCTGAACGAGCCGGAGCTGGCCTGCATCTCGAGTCGCGTCTGCGCGCTGTCAGCCTCGTACACTCGTAGAATCATCAAAGAGTAGCGTGTTTCAGCTCGGCCAATCCTACCCAAATTGCAACCGACATAGCCGTTTCCTGTCGCTTAGCCAAGCTGCGTGACGAGGCTGCGCCAACCCCGTGCGAACACTACGTACCAACACAAGAAGGGCGGGTGGCTGTAAGTATCTCGTACTCTAGTGACATATACGACCATGGCCCTCAAAAACAAAAGCCTCCGGTGCCCTTGACCATGCCCGCCCCTCGACTCCCTCCCAGCTCCCTCGCTCATGCAACAAGCCGTCCAAATCCATTGGCCCTTTCCCTGTTCCTAGCGTCTGCTGCCAGCGCCAGTGCCGTCGATAGTCATGCTGCTATCCCTCCCCCTTTCTATTAAACCCCTATCGTTACTCTCCGGCATATGGCGTAAACAATCTCTGCTGCATCTGCTCAACCTGCCAAACGCAGGCCGACTCTGCCATGTAAATCTCCGCCGCCTGGTCGTCCGATTGCACGAGTGCAAGTGCAGTCGGCGCAATAATGTGACTGTGTGGCTAGCCGCAGCCTCACTATGCCCCAGTTGGAAGCCCGCGCTCTAAACGTTGCCAGCCACGTGCTGCCCGCTCCACTGCGCGACAAAACCATCGCGACCACAAACTTCGCCTCGGCAACTACCGCCCTCGCACGGCTACCTGATCCCGCAACCATCAAACTCTTGCAGCCCAACGCCTTTAGCCTCGTGAACACAATCAACTCACCTTGCGTACAACCCCGAAGCAGCCAGCTGCTCGGCCTACTGACGCGTCGTCCCGAGCATATCTTGATACATTCACAAACATACACCATATCCAGCGCTGCATGGCAATCCCATCCAAGTGGAAATTAAATGTGACCTGCGATCAGACAAAGGCTAGTTTCAGCCAAACGCCTGTTCTAGGACAGACGGCCGTTTACAACTCTGCCATCTAACCAGACTTGGCTTTATTGCTGGCCTGATGTCTGCCTTAGTTTGCACTGTACATACAGTATTATGTACGTGTGGATACCTAGTGTAATAACACCAGCCTAATATAGGTCCTTGCATGCTTGCGCCATGTCGACCGACATCCACTCCGCAACCTGCTTTCTGCACATCGCGCACTGTGCCACGGTTCCATATCAAAAGCGAGGGAATACTACCGAGTGCTAGACCGAAACACTGCATCCGTTTGTTTCAACTCTCGCGTACAGGCTGATTACCACAAAGGCACAAGACACACAGTAAGCTTCCATCTTCTTTATCCTCGACTCGGCAAGCCCAAGCCCGGGACGGACCCCGCCCGCGTTCCATGTCTGAAGCTTGTCCAGGCCACGAGAGGCCATGAGTTCCCAAACGTCCTTACTGACGGCATGTACTTACTTGAGCCAAGTACGCAACCTGCATGCCGCAACCCCCGGCCCACAACGCTCCGTCTTGAAACCTGCAAGAATCTGGAGATTTCAAGCCACTCCGATTTACCCGGCTCTGGCTGCTGCACACGTACGAATACGCACCCCTCCTCCGATTCTAAACAGATGCGAGAGAGAGAGACAGAGATCCAGGCCCCGATCGCTGCGCAGACACCTACTCGCCCTTCGTTTGCCCTCGACTTCATTGGGTGCGGGGTAAAGGTAGCTTACCCCGGTCAACCATGTCTCTTTCTGTAAAGTCATGACTTGGACCTGCATGCCCCTCTAAAGAGGACCCTCATTTTCGACGTGCATGTCTGCGAACCTCCCCCCCCTGGTTCAAGGCCTCCCACTTTTCGCCTATCATAGCAAAAAAGCTTACTACTGACGTGATGTCGTGGATCGACGCAGGATACCCGCCCAGGTCCCCAGTCCACTCAACGTCTTTTGGACAACTACCGTGAATTTTCCGCTTTTTCATGCCCCACCTTCGTTCGCCCTGTTTCCTTTTTTTATATGCGTTTTGCATGACAATAGTAACTCCGATTTTTTTTGCTACCTTATCCATTAAATAAGGTTTGAAGTGGTATATCTGCCACGACTCGTGCCTTGCTACACTCTCCCTTTGTGTGTCAGGTTTTTCTTGCATGTCTGGCATCCCCCAGTCTTTTTCAATTACATAATCTTTCTCTGTTCCGACCATACGAACTGTAACAAGGGGGTGGGGAAGGATGACAACTACGTAATCGCATCTCGCATAATCTGTTGCTTAGGAAAGCTGACCTGCCAAGTTTCAGTCGCACGTGGATCGCCAAGGAAGTTGTGTAAAGTACTTACTTAACTGTAAAAGAAAAGTATGTGATGATTATTTTTTTTGGAACACTCGGGCACAACATGCTTCAGATGCCCAAACGACGCGTACATACATTCACATGCCTAAACGAGACTTGCTATCAGGAGGGGCAAGTGGACCCCCCCCCCCCCGGACATTAACAAAAACAGCCCGACCATAACCCATTGCTCTTTCGTACGTACGGAATAGCAAAGGAAACTCAACCCGAACCACTAAATCATCTCGCCATGACTCAAACCCCACCAACACTATCACATGTTTCACAGAAAGTAGTATGCGAGCATAATAGTTCAAAAAGACTCTTGGTTCCTAAACCCCCCCACGGATCCTTTTACTCACCACTTTTTGTGATACGCCCCTACCCCTGACTCGGAAACTTTTGGGTGATTCGCTTAAACGTGAGTGGAGAAAGAGAAAGTTTAAATCCTTCTCGTATGATCTGGAGCCTTATATGTGAAGGATCTTATTATATGTATATATCGTATTTGCCTTTATCTACGTGGGGCAAAGAGGGAAAGAGAGAAAGAGGGAAAGAGAGAAAGAGAGAGAGAGAGAGAGAGAGAGAAGATATGACCTTTTTTTTCGCTACGTATCGATATGACGTTTTCTTTTCTTTTTTTAGGGGCGGGGCTTCTTCTCGACAACGCACAAACATGTGTCTTTCCTCATCTCTCCAAATCTCTCGTTTTCTTTTTTTTCCTTCTCCTCTGGAAGCTTATGAGCAAAGGAAGGACAAAAAGGGAAAATGCAGGGTCCTGACTCTATGCTATTTTCGCTACTTTATCCCCAAATGCAGATCACATGGGGCTGAACCTAATGGTTTTTAGTCAGGTAGGTTTGGATTGCTCTTTTTTTTTTTGGGGGGGGGGG